GAAAATGTAAAGAAAGCCCGAAGATCAAATCAGACTCATCACGGCAAGACGATGAGAAGTTCAGAGCATTATAACTTCAAAGGGAGAAGAACGATGTTTGATGGTTGATGCTCTGATAGTCTGATGGGGAGTTGAAATTGATTTTCTTGGCTGACTAAATATTTGTGTGGTTGAGATTTATGAGGCAAAAGATAAAATATAAAATAAAAACATAATAATTCGGTGATAAATATTTTTCTTTTGAAGGAGAGAGATGAATATATGAAAATATTATAATTATAATGTCATTAATATTATAAATTTATAATATAATATATTATTATATAATTAATTTTATATTAAAGATTATAATTATATGAAAATATTATAATTATACTTTGTGCGTGGTGTGGGTTGTTTTCATATTGGGGTTAAATCATAGTTTAAGAGATTGTTGAGTTGGTCTGCTTGGTGTTGTTGTGAGGATGACTGCTATGGCTCTCTGTACATTTTCGTTTCCTTTTTCAACAGCAGCTGCTTTAGATCCTTTGAGGCTCTCTCCTATATCTTCCCATTTTTTTTCTGGAGCAAATAGCACTTATCTGATTATTTTCCTTTTCCTTTCCCCTATGGTAAAACATTTAGCACAAAGCATTTATCATGGATTTTCTCCCTGTCCTACTTGCTTCTGTGCCTAGTGCCAGCAAAAATGCAGTGAACTAGTTTAATTTAGTTGCAAAATTTAACGATCTTGATTTTGGACCCTTGTCTATATTATGTGGAATTGTGGACTGGGATCAACCTCCTTTGCATGGTTATCTTTCAGTATTCTTGACTGTTTGTGATGTAATCATGACTCAGGTAGATACACACTTATAACAGCTTGATCAATATTTGAAAAGATTTGATGAAGAGCTCCGACGTGGTGTGTTAACTAATTTTCATTTTTTATCTTCAAATACACCTTTTATCAGTTCTGAAATATCTCCACCTTGGTTAGATTTTGACCTTATAATATATATGTATGGTTTTTGATAGAAAGAGAGAATACTGCTGTTGCTGTTTTGCCTGCAACAAGTCTTGATGGCAGTGTGAAATCTGGAAGAAGTAGTGAAGGTGGAAGAGGAGGGCGTTAAAAGTATCTACTACTCATCCTAGATATCTTTATATATGGTTTCCTTATAGATTGCTTTAACATGTTTTTGTTAGCCGTTATTGTGCTGTTGATTCTTGCTTTCACCTTCTTGAGGAAGTCATTTTCTCCATTACTTGTGCAAGTTGTCTGAGATCACCCCAGAATTGAACTAACCTGAAGTGAATCAAGTGATTTTGTCTAGTTCTATATGGAGCCATAGTTTATCACTGTTCCAAAATTTTGTGATCTAGTGGATCTGGATCAAAATTGGTTCTGAGGCATGAGTGATCTAAACCACACGATGTGACCCAAGCAATATTCTCCTGTTTTTCTCCCAGCAACAGAAAGCTTGAAAAATAAAGTCACTAGTCATGCACACTGGACATGCTTCTCTGGTATACCTGTGACAAATTTTGAGCCATGACATTTACTAGTTTCAGTCAACGTAATGACTATTGAAAGAAATGGATTGTTTGCTTGTGATTAGTTTAACTTCTCTTTTTTGTTGTATGCTTGAACTTAAACTTTTTCTACCGTACTATGTTAATGCAACTTAAACTTCCAATTTTCTTAAGTCTAAGTTAACAAAATGCTAAAATGTACCGTACTAATGGATATAATTGATAATCATTTTAAATGCTATTTTGTTCCTTCATTTTTCATTTTTCATAGTTGATAAGATAGATTGATTAGTAAATGTTATTATTTTTTTTTTATCTAATTTGTTTGTTTTAAGACAATTTAAATAACTCTTTGGAAAACCAACTTTGTTAACATTGATCTTATTAAATTTAAATAATAATTAAAAGAAGATATAATTTAATAGAAAAAGTTCAATTGTAAATGTATAGTATTTTAATATATTCAAATAATATATTTAAAAACATATATATTTAAAATTTATTTTTTATTCAATTCAAACAATATATTTTAAAATATATATATTTAAAATACACATTTTAAATATTAATATATGTTCCGAAAACACAACCTCAGTGAAATATAACGATCAATTCAAAACGGTACAAGATAATTTTTTGACATTCTACGGGTATTGTTTTAGTAATAAAATTCGCATACACACCGATACGAGATTCACAGCCTATAATTGTCCACAGAACATTTTACATTTATAGGGTAAACACAATGGAGAGCTGGATCGAAATCTAGACACTTAGCGGCGTTCACACCTTTTGGGACGAGGTGCTGTCACTTAATCCATCACGTGGAGGACCAGTCTTCGGTGTTGTTAGTTATACCGATTACTGATTCTAGAAGGAGGCCCATTACTGTTTCTTAGGTATGAGCCTCTTGTTGCCAGGCCCATGTCTTCACCAAACTTTTTTTTAAAATTTTATTTTTTTTTATCATATTCACATTTTAATTAGTTTTTTATTTTAATTTTAGGCTTATAAATACCGATTTATAACAGAAAACTTAATTTCTTTTTTCCTCTCTAAAATTTATGCCATCTGCTCTCATCTCTATGATAGGCTTCTCTTAGGGCGTATTTAGTTTGATGAAAATTGGAAAGGAGGGCAAAGGACTTTGATGGCAAAACTAGTACTTGGCAAGGCTTATAAGGTAGTTTTGTAAAAAGTAATGGCCCTTTGCTTTTGCAAGACTTACTTATAAACATTTTTGTTGTTAAAAATCTTCATTTTCCTCCAAAAATTTTTTAAACTTAATAACTTATTTTGTTCAAAAGGAAGACCGGAAAAATTATTATATTTAATTAAATTATTTCATTACTAAATAATTTAATTTAATTAGTTGAAAAAAGATCACCTCACTTTTCCTTCCCTTTCCGCTCATCCAAAAAAAAAAAAAAAAGAAAGAAAACAAAAGGCTTTTCCTTTCTTTCCCTTCCCTTCTCTCATTTTGTTCAAATCAAACAAATTATAAGAGATCTTCTTTTTGTTTATTTTTAGTAGACCTAGATTGACCTTTATATTTTTAAAATATAAATTTTAGATAAAAATTTAATCATCTATATGAATAATACTTAAAAAAAATTTATCAAATAAAAATACTTAACAAAAACTATATATAAAGACGAAAAAATGTAATTATTATTCATATAAATTGTTAAATTTTTATTTAAAATTTATATTCTAAAAATAAAAAAATAAATTAAACATATTAAAATTAAACAGAGAGTAAAATAGTACTTTAAAGCAAAACTCCAAAAAATGCCACCAAAGTGCCAAGAACAACACCAGAACAGACAATGCGAGGGAGCGGAAAGTAGCGGTGGACCCTAGAAGGCCAACCCCGGGCCTAAAAGGAATTAACATTGGTGGGCCTAGTTAAGGATGAAAGAATGAATGAGTGAAAAAGACAGGCTAAAACCTACTTTTTTTACCTTTTTATTTTATTAAATTTATAAGTTTTAATCTCTCATCTTATATTATGATATTTTTAACCCATTACTTTATACTATAACACTTTTAGCCTCTTACCTTATACTATGACACTTTTAGCCTCTTACCTTATACTATGACACTTTTAGCCCATTACCTTATACTATGACACTTTTAGCCCCTTACCTTATTATACTATGACACTTTTAACCCCTCACCTATACAAATAGAAGAAAATAGTCCTCACTTAACATTGGGTTATAATGTTTTATTAGTTTTGTTAACTAACTTTTAGCTTTATTAGCTGACTATTAGCATTCCGTTAATGGAACTAACAAATAAAATTAAATTTAAATTTCATATTTTTTATAATAGAATATTAACGGATGCTAACAGTTAGCTAACAGAACTAACAAAATATTATAACCTAATGTTAAGTGAAGGCTATTTTTTTTTAATTTGTATAGGTGAGGGGTTAAAAATATCATAATATAAGATGAGAGGATAAAATTTACAAATTTAGTAAGACAAAGAGCTAAAAGTGTTATTTTTTGGTACTAACCTCTTAGTATTCGGTAACCACATTGAGTCCCGACTAATCTGGAATCGAGCCACGTCAAATCCCATTTGGGGGAAAGCTCTCCCAGCGCTTGTTTTTCCATTCACAAGACTCGAACTCGAGATCTTGTTTAAGGGGAACCAAACTCCTTCCACTCGGACTAACAAGTCATTGGTAAGGCTAAAAGTGTCGTAATATAAGGTGAGAGGTTAAACCCTATAAACTTTGTAAGGTAAAGGGTTAAAAGTAAGTTTTTGTCAAAAAAAAAAAAAAAAAAAACATTATGAAACTACGAAGAAAAAAAAAAAACCTCTGGGATCCATCATCTTGGTGGGCCTTTTCATCACCATCATAGCAAGCCCATGTGATTCGGACTTTGCACCTTCAGTTGCTCAATGTGAAATGATTTTCATTTTTTTCAAATACATAGGGACTAAAAATTAAATTCTAAATTTATAAGAGTGTAAGTCTATTACTACACTATATAATTACTGGTATGAATTGTATTTTTTTAATGGATCAAGACTCAAGTCACTAATTTAGTATTTAAAAAAAAAAAGAAAAAAAGAAGGGGATTAAGTCACTAAAGAATAGTAGAATACCTAATAATAGAGAATTTTATAAATTTTGCAAAATTTGAAGTATATTCCATGAAAGCATAAAAATAAAATGGAAATTTTTTAATTAATATATAAAAGAAAATTTTACCTAGTCATGTGTGTAAACGAAATTGCTCTAGTGCCAACCCTAACAACCTAGTAGAGCATGTCCGGGCCCACAGACAATAATTTTTTAGAGTATATTTAATTATAGAAAATATAAAGCGAGATATCTTTATCATTTCCTTCTCTTTATTTAAATAAATTAAAAGAATTAGAAGAATTAAAAGCAAAAGTAAAAGACTTTATATTCTTCCCTCTCCTCATTTTTCTAATAACTAAATAGAAGAATTATCACCATTCCATTCAAACTAAACATATAATTTAATCATATAATAATATTGAGAAAATAATTTTTTTAAAAAACTATTTTGGGACATCTAGATCTAGTCTTAACCTTGATTTAAGAATCTTTTTCCTAAAATTTACTAAAGAAATAAATAGTGTTCTCATTCTCCT